CCTGCCTAGGTTGAGGAGGCCGGCAGCCAGGAGGCTGAGGACAGGCCTGGCTCAGGGAGCTGACTTTGGCCTCAAGTCCCATCACGGCCCTCGGGAGCCGGCCAGTTACCTAGCACCTTCTCTGACCTGTCTCCTCAGCTGAAGAGGTAGGCTACACAGATGAATGTTCTCTAGTTCAATGTTCCTGGATTCTAGAACCTGCAGGCCCCTGTGTTTCAGAACAGACAGACCCTTGGGGAGAAGTGGCTGGGCAAGGGTGCTTGCTGTCAGCTTGGGAGAGCCCCCTGTGCCTGGGCGGAGTGCGATGCTGGGGAGGTTTTCTCTGGTCCTTCTGCCTGGAGGTCATGCAGGACTGTTGCTGCTGCTTCTGTTTGTCATGTGAGTGAAGTTGGAGGCCCTGAATCTGTGGGTCTGGCCATTTTAGAGGACAGCCCTCTGTCCCTAAATGATTTTGTGTCCGAGGTGAGGACTATGGTGGGTCGTAACTCAATTTGCTGGTGTTGGTCTGGGGAGATTCCTATTGCAGACCTCTCTCCTCTCCTCCTCCACATGCCTAGGTTCCTTTCTTCTCTCCCACTCCCAAGTCTCAGACTCCCAGGGGCAGCTCACACAGAACATTCAGAAAGGTCACAGAACTGATCAACTTCCTGGGGTGTGGACTGGCTATCAGGGACCTACACACATATTAGTTTCTTGGCATTGTGCTATAAATCTAGGATATTTGGAAATTCCCATTAGCAGGGAGTTCAGCAGACCACAACACTGCAGTTAATAAACAAAAGAGGGCCGGGCATGGTGGCTCACGCCTGTAATCCCAGCACTTTGGGAGGCCAAGTGGCGGATCACCTGGTCCAGCAGTTCGAGACCAGCCTGGCCAACATGGCAAATCTCTTTTCTACTTAAAATACAAAAATTAGCGGGTGTAGTGGTGTGTGCTTCATGTCCCAGCTACTTGGGAAGGCTGAGGCAGGAGAATTGCTTGAACCTGGGAGGCAGAGGTTGTAATAAACCGAGATGGCGCCTGCACTCAACCTGGGCGCGGCGAAACTGTGTCTCAGGCCATCAAAATAAAATAAAATAAAAAAGAAGCCAAAGCCATTGTTTCTGGCCAATGTAGATCCTTCGGCGCTTCTCTCATTTAAAGATGTCAAATCCATCTCTATTTAGCCCCAGGCCCTCCTCTATTATGGAGCTAAAGACTCCAGGACAGAGTTTCCTCACCTTTGCTCCTCGTTTTGCCCTTTATCTTCTCCTTCCTCAGGTCCAGGGGACTGAGCGAAGCATGCTTCTGGACTCCTGTAGTACCCGCTTTGTGGCTCGTGAGTGCACCCCATTCTGGGCCTGGATCTCATAGTCTCTGTCCTAAGCTCTCCCCTTCCCCTCTGCCAAGTGTCCTTGTTGAGCCTGTGCCCACCTCCTTTCTCACTGGTGCTTGATTTCCTCTGGGAAGCCACCACCACTCTCGGCCCTTGCTGCCCTTCCCAACAGTAGCGTCCCCCAGCCCTTCAGCTCTCCCCGTCCCCACCTGGGCTGCCCTCTCCTGATCCTCCTGCCGCCTCTCTGCCTCTTCCTCCTCTCCAGATGCAAATTCCTCAGGGTTCATCCTCAGCCTCCTCTCTCCTAATTCCCTGATTCCTCCATTATCCAAAACAGGACTTGTGATTTGGCTCTCTAGTCCCATACTCTGTTCAGACTGATTTCCAACATCCAGTGCCCACTTCCCCCATCCCTTCTACCTGAATCCCAGGTCTATTCGTAGCATTGTTCAAATGTAGCTGAGTGAGTTGTTTCTGCATCGAACAGGGCTATGGGCAGGTTATAAATTCATACTTCCTGGCAATTTTTGTCATGTGTAGGAATTTCAGTCTTAGAGCTGGAATTTTAGTCTGAGCTGGAAAGCCCATTTTTGGCATTCTTGGTCACCTTTAAAAACACTATTGGCTGTTGGTTGAGGGGAACTTGGAAGTGAAGAAACTACTCCTGATTCTCACAAATTAAATATCAGGTAAGCTCTCAGGTTAAAGATAAAAAATTCTTTTCTTTTATTTTTGAGGCGGAGTCTCGCTCTGTCCTTGAGCTGGAGTGCAGTGGCCGGATCTCAGCTCACCTGCAAGCTCCACCTCCCGGGATTTTCTACATGCATTCTCCTGCCTCAGCCTCCCGAGTAGCTGGGACTACAGGCGCCCACCACCTCGCCTGGCTAATTTTTTGTACTTTTTAGTAGAGACAGGGTTTCACCGTGTGCATGGGATGTGATCTCCTGACCTCGTGATCTGCCTGTCGCGGCCTCCCAAAGTGCTGGGATTACAGGCTTGAGCCACCGCGCCCGGCCTGATAAAATTCTTAAGTCTATGGTTTAGACACTTCCATTTCAACTTAAGAACAACTGTAGGAACATAAAGCTCAGGGGACTCACAGAATATTCTAAATGACACTGGAGTGTGTTCACAATTTTGTACTCAATTTCCCTAACATCTCCACCTTTCTAACCCAAACTCACTCTAGCTTTATGATTTGGAACTTCATGAGCAGGCTTTCCTTGTGTCAGGAGAAAGGGGTCACTATGGACAATCTTCCCTCCTTTTCTCATTTCACTATCTATAAATCTGCTCACCCGAAAATTAAGCCCAATCTGTTACATTGTGCACAAAATCAAAAGGCTAAACCTTTTCTAGACCTTAGGAAGCTGAGTCAAGCGGCTCACTGGCACCCTCACTCTGGTTGGCATGGCTACAGGTCTTCCTGCAGAGTACCATCAATCTGAAGAGTCCCAGTGTTTTGACAAGAGGTGGGAGCTCAGGTGTTCAGACTTCTGCCGGGAATGCCTGTGTCAATGCTTTTCAATATTTGCAGGAAGCAAAGGTGCGTGAGCTCTGTGAACCCCAGTAAGACAGAAAACATGGCCAAGCGTGAAAGGTGAAGCGTGTGTGTGTGTGTGTGTGTGTGTGTGTGTGTGACTGTCCAGAAGGTGGTGATGGAGGAGGAGTGGCCCTGGCAGTTGCATGACAAGGATGGAGAATGCAGGCCACCACTGCAAAGGTGAGGACTTAGCAGCTACGGGAGCAGGAAGGCTCAAAAGAACTAAGAGAACAAGCCAAGCCTGTGAATTGTCTCCCAGCTCTGCCACTACTTAGGTCCTCAATCCTCTCTCTGTAAACAACCAACACAGAGGAGTCACTAAGGTTCCCGTGGGCAGGCAAAGTCTCCAAATACAATCATTCCCAAGGAATCCTGATCAGCAAACAGTCAGAACAGCTGGCAGGTGTAGACAGAGCCTCTAATTAGCTACTTGCCAAGGGGCTATTTGTTGCCCCCGTCTCCGAGGAGACCTTTGCCTCTAGTTTGGTTTACTTGGCACAAGTGCTGTTTGAAGGGGGTGGCATCACAGGAGGGGGTGTTTTGGTTGTTCTCTGCCTGTGCCCCTTTGCCCAGGAACTGAAAGTGGATTTTGGTTTGCCTCCGAGTCAGGCCCATGGCTTTGTCAGCACTCTCAGGAGGTGTTGAATGAAGGCCTGGTTGTGATGAATGAGTCAGAGACATCCTCCCACCACCGTCAATCGTTCCCTTTCAACCTGAGGTGGCGCAACTCAGATTCAAGGGAGGGCTTGTGCGTGGGACAGCGGGGAGCTCAAGAAAGTCACCTTGACCCCCATTTCTGAGCAACAGGCCCCAGGCAGCCTCAGTGAGACCCAGCTTGGAAGTTTCACAGGTAATGCCACTGACCGGGGTGTTCTGTAGGCAGTGCTACTACACAGGAACAAATGCGCTTCACTCACTTCAAACAAGCACTCAGTCTTCTGAAAGGCGAGCAGTGCGGGGATTTAGTTGACTGGTAAATGCATAGCCTGGAACAGGCTTTGCCAGCCTGGAAGTCTGATAGAAAAATACTGAAGAGTAAAACACATTAAAAACTTTATTGTAAGTATCAACATCTAAATTTGCATCAATTTGATACATCGTTGCTCATTTGCAGAACATAACAGTTGCACATTGCAAGAGCAACTTGCTTGAGGTCTTTTCATGCTCAGGGCGGTCCCACCCTGCCTTCCTCTCCCGACCTGCATCCCATCCTCCACAGTCTGCCCTGCCTCCTGCCGCCACAGGTTCAAGACCCAAGCCCTGAGGAGAACCTGCTGCCAGAGGGGCTGACTGGCTACAAGCCGAGAGGGCCAGGCAGCTAGCCCTGCCACGGGGGCGGGGCAGGCAGGGATCGTTTCTCCTCTTCCCGGGCTGAGCCCGTGCCAGGCCAGCCACAGAGTGCCCTAGTCAGCCCATGTGACTCCAGAGAGCCTGCTGTTCTTCTCCATCCCATTTCACCCGCAGCCTAGTGGCTAACTCTGGATATTCTGGTCGCCCAAGTTTCATGGAGAACTCCAGAACCTTGAACCAGTGCATGGTTATCACCATTCTTTGTTACTAGATATGGAGAAGGTACTCACAGTCCCTGGCCTACGACAGCTCGGGGAGATTCAGCTCCCGTTCCTCCCTCACTCCCAAGAGATTTGAAAACAAGTTTGAGAGAAAAACAGTAACTAAAGTCCATGAAGAAGGATCTGACATGTCCGTTGTAATTGTTCATCACCCTCTCCCATCACATATCGCGGGAGATGACCGTTACAGTAAGAGGGTTACGGCAATTCCCCATCTGGAGTGCCATTCAACTGCCTGCCAGAAATCTTACATTTTAATGCATTTAAACACATTCAAAGCAGTGATGACTCTCAGCCTAGGGAAAATGCCAATAAAAAATAATTAATACATGCCTAATGCTGTCATATTATTTCCATACTATAACGGCAACAGTCTTAGGGTTGAAGGCAGGGTGCGGTGGAACCCCTCTTACAAGAACATCAGCACCAGAGATGCTCGGTCCCCGGGCTGATCTGATGGTGGGGACCATGCACTGTCACTCGGCGGCAGTCAGTCCCAGTGTTGGCCTGGGACCATCGATGTGTTACAACCAGGAAGTTGGTGGCGACATTGAGGTCATTGTTTGACTCTCAGGGCTTCAAAGCATCACCTCTGGAAAATCCCATCTCCATAGGCGAGGCGACCTGCAGGCAGAGAAAACCCAGGAAACCTGGGCGCTGGCGGTACTGCTGCTTATCCTGGGCCCAAATGTTCCTCATGTGAGCCGTGTATGAGAGTCAAAACTGTTTTACAAAAAACCATTTTCATTTCAATATGAATCTGATACTTAAAAGTTACAGGTACAAATTTTTCCAATGTTTACTAGGGGTAGCTGATACATATATCATTCTCGCATGTAACCCTCAGTCTACAGACGAAGACACAGGGTTCCTGAGGGTCAAGTGGCCTAGTGGGACCAGGCCTTGGGAGCAGGTCAGCATGAGCTGCCCCGGAGCTCACTGCCAGGCCACACACCTCAGCGTCAAATGTATGATTCCCTATGACGGTGGCTTCTGCTCAGCCCTGGCATCACGCTCTCCTGGTGCCACTGCCACAAGGCCACCTGCCCCAGGTGCTCGGACTACTTTTAACAGCTGTCCCGCTCGCAGCCTGGGGCTTACACAGGCAGCAAAGGGGGGCTGAGCCTAGAGGCAGCAACTGAGGAAGGAGGTATGAAAGCCACCAGAAGCGAGGAGGAGACGGGCGTGCATTGTTTTTGACCACAAATCCTGATTCTGTGCATATGGAGATTTCCTGTACTTTTCTCTACAGGCAGTCTCAGTATCGAAAATCGGCAGTGTTACTAAAGCTTATTTGCAACCTTTTTTCCCAATTAAGAATGTATTACAAAAATATTCATGGCCCCAGATTGCCACAGGAATACTTTTTTTGTACTTATATTAAAATAAACTGCACTTGCAATAACATCTCGTAAGTCAACAGTCTTGGCCATGTTGAGTTTTCAGTCACTTGCGCATTAAAGAAGGCTTTTGTAGGTTCACCTGAGGACTTAGTCAATTTCCAATTTTTTTCCGAAAAGAGAAGCCGAGCTACTTGGTGTTACATGGTGGAAAGAGAAGGGGCCCAGTATTGCCACCCCTCCCTCTGCTCAGGGGACTCGGGGTGTGTGAGTGGGCACTATGGCATGGGGTGGCTGGAGGAAGGGACGGGCATGGCTCCAGAAAGCCTTTGCTGTTCTTCCTCTCCATCCCATTTCACCCCACAACCTAGTGGCTAACTCTGAGTATTCTGAGCAAAATTAACCAAAGGACCCAGCAAGGTGAGAGAAGAAGGTGCAGAGAGGAGAGGCGGGTGGGGAGAACCCCAGTGACCATACGAGCCCAGACACAGACCCCTCCTCCCCCAAAAGCCTTAGGAAGAGCTGAGGGCAGAGCAGGGACACGCAGTGAGCCGCTCAAGCTGGAGTCAGCCAGAACCTCCAAGCGGGGCTGCTGCCCGTGTCATCAGGACCATTCAGTGGGTGAGGACCAGGCTTACAAGGCGCCGCGCACTGGTGTGCTCCTTCTGGAAGCGTTGCTTTCAGCCTTAGCACGAGACAGGCACAGCCCTGGCTAGGAAGCTAAGAAGGGCTGCTAGGTGTCCTCTACATGCCTTGTGGTGCGGAGGGCTGTCGGGCCAGCAGAGGCCCAGCACCTGGGACACTCTGGTACCCTCAGGTGACTGCGCTCCAGCTGCCCGGGGCTGGTGGGCCAGCGCGCATGAAAAACGAAACCTTCCTAGTTTGTTTTCCCGCCAGAGGAGAGAAATTGTTAGGTAACAAAACAATAGATAACAAAACAGAATGGAAAGAATTGATTTTGGTTGGCTGGAAAATGGTCAGATGGAATTTACAGAGATATGTGATCCTAGACTTAAAGGAGTCAGGTAGGATTTGAGAGACCTGACTCAAGAGCATTTGATGAGAAAATTCCTGAGGGTTTTCAGGTGGGATTTGAGAGACCTGACTCGAGAGCATTTGATGAGAAATTTCCTGAGGGTTTTCAGCAGGCCCAGCTTAACTGGCCACACCAGTGATGCAGCTCCTTACACAAGAGCGTGCACAGGCACCTGCCATGCACACTCCTAATGCTTCATATGCACCTCAGCTGTGGCTGTGGAGTGCCCACAACCTTGCTGCCAGGTGGCTGAGGGAAATCGCTGCCACCTGGTGTTCTGCCTCTCACGAGCTGCCATTCGCACAACGCCACAGCTCTTGATTTTGTCCTTTGAAGTAACCGAGAACAACCCTATTCTCTTTTCCTACATAAAGCGCTTTGTGGGTGTGACAGCCCTCTCCTTCCTCCCTCAACCACTGGCTTTCGGCCCCCCACCTGGCCTGTGGGCACATGGCTTATTCTGTTACCGTCTCTGCCCTCTGCCCTGAGCCTGCAGCTCTCTTCCCTGGTGAGTCTTGAGCCCCTGCCTGCCCATGCTCTCCCAGACTAGAAGGCTCCCAGAGTGAAGTCCTCACGGCCCCTGCCTTCTGTCCTGGGCTCCTTGCAGCTGTGTCTGTGGGCGATAGCTTCTCCCACCGCTGTGAACTCCCAGTATGAGGCTGTGGCTGCCTTTTGCTCATTCCTGTGTTCAAGGATCCAGTTCCTTTCAGCCCAGTCCCCTCGCATTTGTGCACACCATCTCAGAACACCGTGCCCAAAACTGAGTGTGACACCATGGGTGTGGTCTCACCGGGGCAATGAGCAGTGAGGCTGCTGCCCTCCCGACAGTCTGGGCCATAGCTTCAATGAGGCAGAGGGAATGCATGAGTAGTGTGCATGTATGTGTGTCTGTGCACTCTTGTGTAAGGAGCTGCATCACTGGGTGTGGCCAGTTAAGCTGGGCCTGCTGAAGCCCTCAGGAATTTTCACATAAAATGCTCTCGAGTCAGGTCTCTCAAATCCCACCTGACCTTTGAAGTCTAGGACTGTCCATCTCTCTGTTAAATTCCATCTGACCATTTTCAATAACCAAATCAATTCTTTTCCAGCCAACCAAAATCAATTCTTTTCCATTCTAGTTTTGTTATCTGCTGTTAATCATCTCCCTCAAACTTGCATCATGCCTAAATTTGATTAGTAAACCTCTACAACTTCGTTCAAGTTATTATTGATGAAAATGTCAAACAGGTCAGGTCAAAGAGTCCAGAACTCTGTGTTCAAGGGGTTAATGAACATTTTTAATCAGTTTCAAACCCACTTTATTGCACTATCATTATCCATTCTGCATGTCACCAACATCTCTCATAAGCTGATGAGATGTTGTCAAAGGTCTTGGTGACATCTTGCCAATGGCATTGGTTTGGTGTCCTAGGCCACAGCTGTCTTTTCAACGTTCACAAATCATCTATTTGATAATAATCTGTTCTGGCTTTTGCCAGACGTGAAACTTCAATTCTGCCATTTGGTTCTCAGAATTCACACTTTCCTTTTCCTTAGGAACATTTTCAAGCTAAGTGCTTTCTCAAGCCTCCATCAGGTTGCGCAGGGAGAAGGGCTGGAGGACTCAGGTTGGATATATATCATGTGGAAGGAAAACTCTCGCTGATCAAGGTGGTCTTTCCAATCTCGGGTTGAAATAACCTGTATGATGTTTCCTCCAGTTACTTCCAGTTAAGGACCACTGTCATTGGTGGAGGTAACTCAGGCCAAATGGGAGGTGGCCTGCCTTCCTTCCCCTGTTATCCACCACCATGATGCCATGGCCCCCAAACAACTTGGCCACTCTTAATGACATTTATTTAAATGGCTTGGAAAAGCTACTTTTACTACTACCTGTAGTACTTCAAGCACAGCTGAGGACTGGCTGCTGCTTTGCACCCAGCCAGGAGAAACAATCCATCTGCTGTCCACACTCAGCAATTTGGAGATTTGGCAAATCACGATTCATAATCTGGAGTGATGAGGTGTGACCTTAGGCCACAGCTCCACCTGGCACTTGAGCTCTCCCTCCACTGATGATGCATTTGGTTTGGAATCCAGAGGATGCTGATAATGGGCAGGCTGCACACAGGTCACCAAGACAGGGCAGCAGCACGGACTGCACGCAGGCCCTGCCCTGGAGAGGGAAGAAGCCCTTAGGTCTGGGATGGCTGGGCTGGGTTGTAAGTCACATAGGTGACATCCTAGAGTGAGAACAAAAGTTTTCCATGTACACAAGACTTCCTTCTGAGTTTATTCTCTCTCAGACATGAACGACATGTGCCATGGTGCTGGTTTTGACAACTAAGACTGGCTTTTCACAGCTCTTGGCAGAAGAGAGTGTCTGCTGTCACAAGCTTGCAGCAGGTTTGCTCTTCATCCTCTGAGGGGTGGATCATGCTCCTTTAGCCAAAGCTGGTTTCAGAGCTTTATGCAATTTTTATGGGTGAGAAGACAAGTGTGATAGGAGAACTTTCATTGCCCACTGACGTGTATTTTCACCAGATTAAAAACAACTGCTAAGTAGCAATAATGTTAGCACAGTTCTTTAAAAAGAATAAACAATTATGCTAAGAAATGGTACCTGAAAGTGTCCTGTAGTGTCCAAAACGAAACATTCATGGCAAACTGAAATTGCATGCTTCGGCTTGGGTATGCGATGACAACCAGCCAGCAAGGACGACGAGGGTCAGGGGATAGGTGTTCCGATGGGTGCTTACCCAATACTCCCCAGTGGAGGGGTGCGGTGCAGTGCTCACAGCCCTGCAAGTTAGCCAAGCGGCCCCTGCTGTCCTTTCTCTATGTAGTTTCAGTGGTTCACAATATAGACAGTAAGAACTGGAGCAAAAACTAGCAACACAAGAACAGTTGTCTATAGGCCTCTTTGGCGGACACTAACTATTACTGCTGTGGCTCTTACTATTCATCTGCCTAGAGAAGCCCAGCACACCCAATCCCCGCCCATCTCATTACAGTCTCTCCTGGGAAAGCTTATTTAGCATGTGAAGCATCACCTCCTGTGCTCAAATTACAGAAAGATGAAATCGAGGCCTGTGCAGATGTGCAGTCAGGTAAGCAAAACACAAGTTAAGCATTCCTAATCTGAAAATTCAAAATCGAAAATGCTCCAGAATTTGAAACTTTTTGAGTACCAACATGGCGGTACAAATGGAAAAAGTTCCACACCTGACCTCATGTGATGGGCCACAGTCAAAATGCAGGCCACAACA